ATTTATTTATTTATTTATTTATTTATTTGCAGTTAAAGGAAATTCCCTTTTTGAGCGAATCTGCATCAGAGGAAACTTTGAACAAAGACCTTTTGCCTTTCTTGCTGAAGTGCCTCGACATTCAGGCAACTAAACCCTAAACCCTAAACCCTAAACCCTAAACCCTAAACCCTAAACCCCAAACCCTAGCTTGAAGGGAAGCGGCGAAGTGGGTGTCTCAGAAATGTGGGAGTTCCGGGCTTCAAGGCGACCGAAGCAGCGCCCCACAAACCTAGGGTTTAGGGTTTAGGGTTTAGGGTTTAGGGTTTAGGGTTTAGGGTTTAGGGTTTGCGTTGCTGCAGGCCCCTGAAATTCAAAAAGCAGCAGTTTCCTCTTTGAGGGTTTGCTTCGCTTCATTTGGCTACTCTGTGCACCGCACGCTCTTCCTGCCGCGCATGCTTTCTCTTATAGCTAGTGCAGGTAGGGTTTAGGGTTTAGGGTTTAGGGTTTAGGGTTTAGGGTTTAGGGTTTAGGCACAGGCAGCGAGGGTTTGGGATGCATGTGCTCTCCCCACGGGCTTGTTGCGATCAAGGGTTTAGGGTTTGGGGCGCTGCCTGTCTCTGTCTTAACGCTGAGGGTTTAGGGTTTAGGGTTTAGGGTTTAGGGTTTAGGGTTTGCGTGGCAGAGTCGCTTGAAGTGCGCGTGGTTTGCCTGGAGTGTTTGGGGGCCATGGCCACGGCCTTCGACAGGTCTGTTGTAGAGCGGCAAATTTTGCCAGTGCTGCTTCAGGTACGAGGGTTTAGGGTTTAGGGTTTAGGGTTTAGGGTTTAGGGTTTAGGGTTTACGCCTTGGGGTTAGGGGAGTTCAGTGGTGTTTGCGCATTTGGTGGTGCTTTCATATTCGGCTTTTCTGGTTTCAACTTAAGCTTGACAGCGTGAGGTTTAGGGTTTAGGGTTTAGGGTTTAGGGTTTAGGGTTTAGGGTTTAGGGTTTAGGGTTTGTGTTTAGCATTTAGGCCTCCAGAAAGCACTAGGCGGTCCCATTCGCAGATCCATTATTTCTGAATTATAATTCATTCTTTTTTATTTTCTATTTATTTATTTTTATTGTATTTTTATTTATTTGTTTGTTCGCTCAGACCAGCAGCAGCAGCAGCAGCAGCAGCAGCAGCAGCAGCAGCAGCAGCAGCAGCAGCAGCAGCCGCCCTGCGGCGTTGTGTGTTTCTTTGTCTTTTTGTCTTTCTCGCCTTTCTTCTCTTCTTTCTTTAAATGCAATTGCGGAAAAGTTTCTCCCCATTTATCTTTCTCTGCTGCGTCCGCAAACCCTAAACCCTAAACCCTAAACCCTAAACCCTAAACCCTAGGCCTCACCCCGCCGCGGCCAAACCCCCCAAAGATAGACTGCAAGGAGGCAAATGCAAAGTTTGTTTTATTTATTTATTATTTATTTAAATTTTATTCATTTATATTTATTTATTTATTATTCTTTTTATTTTCTATTTATTACATTTTATTATTTATTTATTTATTTATTTATTTATTTATTTATTTATTATTTATTTATTTATTTATTTATTTAAGTAGCTGGGAAAGGACAAGCTCACTTACGAAAGTCGCTAAACGGCACGCGCTAAACCCTAAACCCTAAACCCTAAACCCTAAACCCTCGGTGGCGTGTTTGGCCTTCAGTGGAAGACAGCCTTTCTTTGGAGCAGTACAGAGCGATTGACAAAGAAGTCAAAACCATTATGCGAAAAGTAAGTAGGGTTTAGGGTTTGCAGTTTAAGGGTTTAGGGTTTAGGGTCTAGGGTTCAGGGTTTAGGGTCTAGGGTCTAGGGTTTAGGGTTTAGGGTTTAGGGTTTGTGGCTCAGGTGGAGGAGGACCGTCGGCGGCACTTCGCCCTCAAGGCTGTAAGCCCTTTCAACTTTTAAACTAGGGTTTAGGGTTTAGGGTTTAGGGTTTAGGGTTTAGGGTTTAGGGTTTAGGGTTTAGGGTTTAGGGTGGGGGTTTAGGGTTTAGGGTTTAGGGTTTAGGGTTTAGGGTTTAGGGTTTAGGGTTTAGGGTTTAGGGTTTATGCAGGGCGCGGGAAACACCCCCGCGTTGGTGAACAGTTTGTTGACTTCGCTGTGCAACATTTCGCCCTTCTTAATGTTTGGCCTGTGACTGGTGCAGGAGCAGCAGTCTGCAGTTGCTGCTGCCCTTTCCTGCGGCGCCCCAGCTGCTGCTGCTCCTGCTGCTGCTGCTGCTGCTGCTGCTGCGCCTGCTGCTGCTGCTGCTGCTTTTTCTTTGGAGACATTTTTCGAGGAAGCAAACAAGTCAGCTTCCGTGGCAACACCAGCAGCAGCAGCAGCAGCAGCAGCAGCAGCAGCAGCAGCAGCAAATACAATAACAACAACCCCACCCTCCTCCCTGCTGCTGCCGCTCAGACCTCCACCCCCCCCTCCAGTCCCAGGGGCTCTGCAGCAGCAGCAGCAGCAGCAGCAGCAGCAGCAGCAGCAGCAGCAGCAGGAGGACGTGGAGCAGCTGTTTACTTCGCTGTCAGCTCGGTTGCCTCCTCGGCCGTTGCGCACTGCAGCAGCAGCGAGCAGCAGCAGCAGCAGCAGCAGCAGCAGCAGCAGCAGCAGCGGAGCTAGCCCGTCTTCGTCTGTTTTCTCCAGCGGCAACTTAGAGCTGGAGGCCATTCTTGCTGCTGCTGCTGCTGCAGTCCCGCCCCCTGCTGCAGCGTACGTCCTCAGCAGCAGCAGCAGCAGCAGCAGCAGCAGCAGCAACAGCAACAGCAGCAGCAGCAGCAGCAAGTGCACACAGGTTCAAGTCTGTTTGTTGTGTCTCCCTCTTCAGGCCAGCTAGCCAGCTAGCTACCCCTGCTGCTGCTGCTGCTGCTGCTGCTGCTGCTTCCTTCCCTTTGTTTCCTGCTGCTGCTCCAGACCCTTTTGAGGGTTTAGAAAGAGAAACTCCTTACCAGCAGCAGCAGCAAACAGCAGGGGCCCCCGGAGGGCCCCTGAGGCCCCTTAGGGGGCCCCCTGGGGGCCCCCTGAGGCCCCCAGGGGCCCCCCTAGGGTTGCCAGGGGGCCCCCTAGGGCTGCCTGGGGGGCCCCTGGGGGCCCCCAAAGGGGCCCCTTGGGGGCCCCAGGGGCCCCCTGGGGGCCCCCTGGGGGCCCCCATTGGGTCTCCAGGGGGGCCCCTGGGGGCCCCCGGGGGCCCCCTGGGGCCCCCCGGGGGCCCCCGGGGGCCCCCCGGGGGCCCCCTGGGGCCCCTGGGTAGCTGTAGATACACCCCAAATGGCTCGGCGAGCAGCAATATGAAAGGGGTGAGGAATTAGTTTTGAGTTTTTGTCTTTTTGTTTAAATAAATAAGTCAATTCAGTCCATCTTAATGCAATTAATGCGGCTGGGCTGCGAGGGTTTAGGGTTTAGGGTTTAGGGTTTAGGGTTTAGGGTTTAGGGTTTAGGGTTTGGTGTTTGGCTGCAGGGCGAAGACCCCTTCGCGGGGCTCTCTAATCTGCTGGGGGCCCTCCCCAGTCGCCGTGGGGAGGGGCCCCCAGGGAGGAACGGCAGCAGCAGCAGCAGCAGCACAAGTGCTGCTGCTGCAGCTGCTGCTGCTGCCCCCCCTGCTGCAGCAGCAGCAGCAGCAGCAGCAGCAGCTGAGGGGTCCGACCCGTTCGCAGGCCTGGCAGTTCTCGCTCAGGGGCCTGTGGGGCGCAGCAGTTTGAGCTGCAGCAGCTGGAAGCAGCTGGAAAGTAAGTGAAGGAAGCAAAGGGCTGCTGCTGCTGCTGCTGCTGCCGCTGCTGCTGCTGCTGCTGCTGCTGCTGCTGCAGAGAGCAGCAGCAAGGCCCTCCCGCTTTGTTTTCCAATTTGCTGCGCGTCGGCGCAGACGCAATTGAACTCTTTGAAGTCAACAAAAAGATTTCAATTAAATTTAATTTTATTTGAATTAAATTAAACTTTAAATTAAATTGAATTAAATCCAACTTTTAATTCAACTAAATGCAACTCATTTGCTCCAGTTGCACACCGGCTGAGCTGTACATACACCGCAAGAAACGCGCGTTCTGCCAAATGGACTTCAAATGCATTTCATTTAAAAGAATAAAACATTTGAAGAATATATTTTTAATATTTTGAAGTTTTTAAAATGCTTTTTAAATTCATTTGATTTCATTTAAAAGCTGTTTTCGCTTTCGCGGCGAACGCGCGCACTTCTGCTGAGGTGTACGTACACCCCAACGGCGCGCACTGAAGGAAACCTTTCGGAATTCTTTCTGCAGCTTTTCCGTCCTCAGAAATAAAACAATTTATGAATTTAATTAATTAAAATTAAAATAAAAAGTTTATTTAATTTAATTTAAATTCAAAAGCTTTAAAAGATCAGCTCAACTACGAACTCAGGCTGCAGCAGAGGCTTGAAAGGCATAAATGAATTCATATAAAGATGACTACAAATAATTAAATGTAAAATTAAATATAAATAAATATAAAAGTGGCTTTCAGTATTTGCATATAATTAATAATTACAAAAAACAATATTTGAAATAATAGTGATGTTGAAAATTAAAAAAAAAACAAATAAGTCCTCTTGGGGCCCCAAGCTGCAGCCCAGGGTTTAGGGTTTAGGGTTTAGGGTTTGAGCTGCTGCTGCAGCAGCAGCAGCACGGCCCTTGCGGCAGCGTCACATGTCTTGCTGCAGCAGCGCGTCCTTCACTGCAGCAGCAGCAGCAGCCGCAAGCAGCAGCACAGCCCTCCCGGCAGCAGCAGCTTAGCCCTTGCTGCAGCAGCACCTGGCTCGCTGCAGCCGCCAGCAGCAGCAGCAGCAGAGCAGTTGCTGCAGCAGCAGCTGGCTCGCTGCAGCCAGCAGCAGCAGCAGCTCAGCCCTTGCTGCAGCAGCACCCCGCTCGCTGCAGCCGCCAGCAGCAGCAGCAGCAGCAGCAGCTCAGCCCTTGCTGCAGCAGCACCCGGCTCGCTGCAGCCCCCAGCAGCAGCAGCAGCAGCAGCAGCAGCAGCAGCAGCAGCAGCAGCAGCAGCAGCAGCTAAGAAGGGTCGAGAATGGAGACGCGGAGGGCCTCGGACTGCAGCACGAGACCAGTGGTCAGCAGCAAAGCTCTGCTGACATTTATTTTGAATTTATTTCCTTCTTTTTGGTACCCCACAAGGGCCCCCCGCAGCTGCCACAGGGGGGCCCCCCAGGGGCCCCCAGGGGGGCCCCCCCTTTTTCTTTTTCTTTTATTTTTTTCATTTCCCCAAAAACAAATTCCCCGCACGCACTGCCCCAGCTCCTCCTCCAGTGTCTGTACACCCCAGCGCACGCACACTCCCCTGCTGCTGCAGCAGCAGCAGCAGCAGCAGCGGCAGCAGCAGCGGCAGCAGCAGCAGCAGCGGCAGCAGCAGCAGCAGCGGCAGCAGCAGCAGCAGCAGCAGCAGCGGTAGCGGCTGCCTGCCTCGCTGCAGGCTGAGAGGCGGCTGGCTGCTGCAGCTGCGGAGGGGCCTGCTCCAGCACGGGTGAGTCTAGCTAGGGTTTAGGGTTTAGGGTTTAGGGTTTAGGGTTTAGAGACCGTCTTGAAGAGCCTGTGCAAAGAGCCCATTTGCTGCGCGTCGATTTTGCCCGCAGCTGCGAAGGCCAAAACCGCCTCAGAAAAGGCGGCGTATATGGCCAGGCCCTCTGCAGCAGCAGCAGCAGCAGCAGCAGCGCAGCAGCAGCAGCAGCAGCAGCAGCGCAGCAGCAGCAGCAGCAGCGCAGCAGCAGCAGCAGCATACGATAGGAGACAAATTAAATCTTGCTTTTTGAGATAAACTCGTGTTGGGGGCTGCCACTGGAGCCGCCAGTTTCTAAGTGCTGAACTTAATTGCTGCTGCTGCTGCTGCTGCTGCTGCTGCTACTGCTGCTGCTGCAGTTGTTCCTACGCTCAGTAACTCCTAGTGCTCCTGCGTTGCCGTGCTGCAGTTGCTGCTGCGGTGTTACTGCTGCTGCAGCGCTACTGCTGCTGCAGCGCTCCTGTTGCATCGGTGCTGCTGCTGCTGCAATGTTGCTGCTGCTACTGCAGTGTTGCTGCTGCTGCTGCTGCTGCTGCTGCTGCACCTTGAGGACTGTCGAATTCGCTGCTGACGCCTCCGCGAGAAAGCCCCAAGTGCGCAGGAATTGCGAGGCGTCTGCATGCAAGTTCTTCCTCTGGATTTGCTTCTTTGTGGCTTCTTGCTGCTGCTGCAGCAGCAGCAGCAGCAGCAGCTTCCATGGCTGCTGCTGCTGCCAGAGAAGCAACAAAAGGGAAAAAGAAAAGCCTAAGTCCTTAAACGAGACATGGCTGGGCTCACTTGCTTTTGCTGCTGCAGCAGAAATTCAAAAGCATGCCCGGAGTGGCTGGCTGCTTGGGGGCCCCCGCTGACGGGCTGGGGGCCCCCCTGCATGCAGCAGGGAATACGGGGGGAGTTTGAAGGAGAAAGTGGAAAGAAAAGGAAAAGAAAAGGAAAAGAAAAGAAAAGAAAAGGAAAAGAAAGTAATTTGAAGCGAAAAGTGGCTTTGTTTCCGAAAGTTTGGAGTTTCCTGCTGCGGCGTCTGCGGCGGATCCGAGAAAGCGAGGGAAAGCTGGGTGGAATTCGTTGGTTTTTGAAGAAAAAGCGGAGAAAAGAATTAGTTTTGGGATTTAAAAGGACTTTTTGGAGTTTATTTTGTTTTTTTGTTTTGAATTCCCGGAAGATCGGGCGGACTTGAGCTGGCGTTGTGCAAGTCGGAGGTGTCGATACACCGCAATGGCGGTGCTGCTGCAGACCTCGCTGGGAAACCTGACGATAGATCTGTTCACAGATGAAGTTCCTGCAGTTTGTTACAACTTTTTGGGTTTAGTTCGCGCCAAGTATTACCACAATACCATTTTCCACTCCATAGAGAAGGACTTCCTCGCCCGCGCCGGCAACCCCGAGACCGCCAGCCGCTTCTGGGGCCTCGGCCTCCCCGAGGCCCTCAGCTCGCAGCTGCCTCGCCAGAAGCAAACAGACGATGTGGGCTGCAGCATTTGGGGTTTGCAGCACTTGCATGCGACTGGCCAGCTGGACTTGAAGCAGCGGCAGCAGCAGCTCGCAGCAGCGCAGCAGCAGCAGCAGCAGCAGCAGCAGCGCCGCGGCGGCCTCGCGCTGCCCCCCGCCTCCGTCTACGCCGACCTCGACTTCGACCGCATGTCCTTCGGGCCCTTCCCGCAGGGGGGCCCCCGGGGGCCCCCTGACCGCGCCGTCGTGCAGGTTCTGCCCGCTGCAGCGCAGCAGCAGGCGGAAGCACCTGCAGCAGGGGCTGCTGGGGATGCTGCCGCATGCAGCAGCAAATGCTGCTGGAGGCGCCAGCTGCTTTTATATAACTCTGAGGCCTCGGCTTTTCGAACTTGACGAAAAGTGTTCGCTTTTTGGACAAGTCCTCGAGGGTGTCGAGACACTCGAGCGCCTCAACGCCGCCTTCGTCGACAGCAAACACATCCCCCTCACCGTCAGCCGCTGCTGCTGCTGCTGCTGCGCTGCTGCTGCTGCTGCTGCGCTGCTGCTGCTGTGCTGCTGCGGCTGCAGCAGCGCGACGCTGCTTCTTCCAGCGCCGCCGCTGTGCTGCTGCTGCTGCTGTAGCGGCGTGACCTGCTGCGGCAGTCGCAATCTCCATTCCTTGAGTGCTCCTGTTGCTGTGCTGCTGCTGCTGCTGCTGCTGTGCTGCTGCTGCTGCTGCTGTGCTGCTGCTGCTGCTGCTGCATGCAGCCTGTGCGCATTCTGCGGGCCTACGTGCTGGAGGACCCGTTTTTTTCCCGCGTGCCGCGTTTTGCACTTGGAGACGCAGCAGCAGCAGCAGCAGCACCAGCAGCAGCAGCAGCAGAAGCAGCAGCAGCAGCAGCAGCAGCAGCAGAAGAAATGGAAGAATGCGACAAAGACAAACTGGGCTTCACTCCTCCTGCTTCTCCAGAGCCCTTAGCAGCAGAAGCTCTCAGCGATGAAGAACTTGACGAAATTATGGCTCTTGAAAAAGTTGACCAAAAAGAAGCAGAAGCAAGAAAAGGTACTTCTCCACTTCGCCGTTTGCTGCTGCTGCTGTGCTGCTGCTGCTGCTGCTGCTGTGCTGCTGCTGCTGCTGTGCTGCTGCTGCTGCTGTGCTGCTGATGACGTGCTGCTGCTGTGCTGCTGTGCTGTTGCTGCATTTGCCGCTGCTGCTGCTGTGCTGCTGCTGCTATGCTGCTGCTGCTGATCTGCTGCTGCTGATCTGCTGCTGTAGCTGCTGCTGATCCGCTGCTGCTGCTGCTGCTGCTGCTGCTGCTGCTGTGTGGCTTCAGTAACTCTGGAAATCCTGGGGGACATTCCCGACGCCGATATGGCCCCTCCTGAAAATGTTCTTTTTGTTGCCAAATTAAATCCGGCAACTCAAGACGACGACTTGCGGCTTTTGTTCTCCCGGTGAGGCGCTTAGTTGCTGCTGCTGCTGCTGCTGCTGCTGCTGCTGCTGCTGCTGCTGCTGCTGCTGGTGCAGCGGGAGGTGTGCCCCTCGCGGTAGCAGCAACAGCTGGAAAGAGAGGCAGCAGCAGCTCCAAGCAGCCGAGCTGCAGCAAATTGCGTTTTGCTTCCTGCTGCTGCCTAGTCCGTGTCAGCTGCTGCAGCAGCACCAGCTGCTGCAGCAGCACCAGCTGCTGCAGCAGCAGCAGCTGCTGCAGCAGCTGACAGGCGGCGCTGCTGCAGCAGCAGAAGTGCTGCTGCGGAAAGCACTGTTAAAGCAGCAGTGCAGCAAAATGGAAAAGTAAAGATTTTGGAAATTAAATTTGATCTTTTTTGCACTTTTAAGTCCAGCTTTCCTGCTGCTTTCCAACAGGTTCGGCGAAATAGTGTCTTGCGACATCATTCGGGACTCCAGAACTGGCCAGTCTTTGCAATATGCATTTATTGGATTCAAAAAAAGAGAAGATTGCGAATCTGCATATTTTAAAATGCAAAATGTGCTCGTGGATGACCGGCGGTGAGTTTGCAAGTTTTGCACTGAATGGCGCCAGGTGTCTGTACACCTGAACGCCGCGCGGCGCGACCGCCAGTTCAACTTTTGCAAGATCGGAGCTTTAGTTCATTTTTTTGCAGTTTCAGTCTTTTATTTCGTTTGTTTTATGTTTTATTTTGTTTTTATTTCTTATTTTGTGCTGCGTCTCCTTTTTTGGTTCTGTTTCGTCGCAATTTGCTGCACCTGCTGCTGCTGCTGCTGCTGCTGCTGCCTTCGCCCTGCTGCAGCATCCACGTGGACTTCAGCCAGTCCGTGGCCCGCGAGTGGCACACCTACAGACAGCAGCAGCAAAAGAAGCTGTCCTCAGAAGGAGCAGCAGCAGCAGCAGCAGCAGCAGCAACTGCTGCTGCTGCTGCTGCAGCAAACAGCAGGAGGCCCGAGGCGCAGCACGCGGGCTTCCAGCGTCAGCAGCAAACTGGGAGTGCTGCGCAGTCAGCTTCGAAGCAGCATAAAGGAAGAGAAGCAGCAGCAGCAAATCGAGGAGCTGCTGCTGCTGCTGCTGCTGCTGCTGGCAGACACCGCAGCAGCAGCAACTGGGACAGGCGCAGCAGAAGCCGCAGCGCGGATCGAAGATGACTTTAACTAAATTGCAAATCAGAAGATCCAAAGAAATGAAATTCTTTTGAAAAATAAAATTGAAATTAAAAAAGTAAATGAAAAAAAGGATAAAAAGAACCTTTTGTTTAGTTCCTTTTGCTCCTTATTCCGTCACTTGCTGCAGCAGATAGAAACAAATGCATGCATGCATGCATACATTTATGCATGCATTTTTGCATGCGTTTATGCATGCATTTATGCATGCATGCATTTATGCATGTAGGGGTTTCTCCCCGTGAATTTCCCCACTTAGAAGAAAACAATTTAAATGGCCTCGCAAGGGGGCCCGCGAGACTTTTTCCTGCTGCTGCTGCTGTGCTGCTGCTGCTGTGCTGCTGCTGCTGCTGCTGCTGCTGCTGCTGCTGCTGCTGTGCTGCTGCTGGCTATCTTGGCTGGAGGCAGCGAGCAGCGGCGGCAGCTGGCAGAGCCTGCGGTGTCTTGAAAGGGAGAAGTCGAAAAGCAATTTGAATTTAATAATTTGAATTTAATAATTTGAATTTAACAATTTGAATTTAATAATTTGAATTTAATAATTTGAATTTAATAATTTGAATTTAATAATTGAAATGGAAACTGAATTTGATTGGCAGCAGATCTGTTCAAGAGCTGGCGGACAGTCGATGCTGCTGCGCATGCCTCTCTGGCTGCAGAAAAGCTGAATTTGGATCTGAAATGGAGTTAAAAAGGTATTTTTGATTTAAAAAAGAAATAAAATGAAATAAAATAAAATTAAAAATAAATTTAATCCATTAAAAGGAAAGTTTGCGGCCTTTTCAAGGGAGGATCCTGTCGTCAGCAGCCCTGAGCCTCGCCAGCACATGCAGCCGAAAGACCCGCAGTTTGCATAAATTTGGAAACAAATTTGAAAATAAATTTGAAAATAAATTTCAATTTTTAATTTTAATTTCGAATTTAATTCCAGTAAATGAAGACGAAGACGGAAAGGGGGAAGATCGCGCGCTTCTTTCCGGCGTTCAGCAGCAGCGCACGGTCTTGCAATGGCAAACCCTAAACCCTAAACCCTAAACCCTAAACCCTAAACCCTACCTCGTGAGACATAAAGGAGTAAAAGGGGAATTCAAATTTGTGGAATTTCCCTTTTTAAAAAAAGAAGATGGCGGTGGATTTGGGGTGTATCTGCAGCTCTCGAGTTGCATTCGCGAGGCGGTTCTGTGCTGCCCTGCGCAGCAGCACTTTCAGAATTATATTTCTTCTTTTTCTTTTGTCTCAGCCGCATTTTTCGTTTTTATTTCCTCTAAATTCCCCTTCAGCTTTGTTTTTCCGCCAAGTTCCCCCCCGAATCGGCTCTTTTCCGGAAAACAGACGAAAAGCTGCTGCTCCTGCTGCTGCTCCTGCTGCTGCTGCTGCTGCTGCTGCTTCCCAGCTAAAGGCGCTGCTGGAAGCAGCACCAGCTCTGCCGCCCCCGGCGCAGCCAGCCCCCGTAAGTTTCCAGCAAGTTTGCTGCTGCAGCACTACAAGTTTGCTGCTGCAGCACTACAAGTTTGCTGCTGCAGCACTACAAGTTTGCTGCTGCAGC